GCTGTGCATGATGGCGGGTGCCTGCAGTCCCAGCTACTCGGGAGGCTGAGGCAGGACAATGGCGTGAACCCGGGAGGCGGAGCTTGCAGTGAGCCAAGACGATGCCACTGCACTCCAGCCTGGGAGATAGAGCGAGACTCCGTCTCAAAAACGAAAAAAAAAAGGAAACATTTTAAAATCTGCCCAAAGCTTCATGGTTGAAATGGCATATGCCTAAGGAGGTACAGAAAATCTGAAATGCTTCCCCAAAGGGGGCGGAGCAAGAGTAGGAGATAAACTCTCATCATCCACGGTAAAAACTAGAACAATGTCTAAATGTTTTTAATTTGTCTTTTTTTTTTTTTTTTTTTTTTTTGAGACAGAGTCTTGCTGTGCACTCAGGCTGGAGTGCAGTGGCACGATCTTGGCTCACTGCAACCTCTGCCTCCTGAGTTCAACTGGTTCTCCTGCCTTAGCCTCCTGAGTAACTAGGATTACAGGTGCCCACCACCATACCCGGCTAATTTTTGTATTTTTAGTAGAGACAGGGTTTCATCATGTTTGCCAGGCTGGTCTTGAACCCTGACCTCAAATGATCTGCCTGCCTTGGCCTCCCAAAGTGCTGGGATTACAAGTGTGAGCCACTGCACCCAGCCTAAATGTCTTTAATTTAAAAATTAATATAAATATTATCTTGAAATATAAAAATAAAATTTTTTAAAAAGCAAAAGCACCGAGGTTGACTGCCTCCAGGGAATAGGGAGTGAGTGGGAAGTACTGAACCAAGGGCAGTCGATTTTTTGGTAAAAGTCCTGCAGTATCTCCGGACTTTTCAAACCATGTTCATCCTTAAATTTTATCTGGTTTTCTTTCAAAATAACATATATGCAACTTTTATTTACATAAAAAAATAGGCAGGTGAGAAATGCTAATAAAATTATTCCAGGGCGAGCCTGGTTTCTCACACGTGTAATCCCAGCACGTTGGGAAGACACAGCAGGAGGACGGCTTGAGGCCAGGAGTTTGAGACCAGCCTGGGCAACATAGTGAGACCTCATTTCTACAAAAAATTACAAAATTAGTCAGGCACGGTGGCGCCTGCCTGTAGTTTTAGTTACGCAGGAGGCTGAGGCAGGTGGATCACTTGAATCCAGGAGTTCACGACTACAGTGAGCTATGACTGTATCACTGCACTCCATCCTGTGCAATAGAGTGAGGCTGTCTCTAAAAATGTAAATAAATAAATAAAAATTACTCCAAAGGCTTTTCCACTAAAGTGTCAAGAAGTGCTAGAATCTACTTACCAGAAGTCATCTGAGGACGGCTCTCTTGCCAATTCTGGGAAGTGACTGCCAAAGAAAGGGAAAACAGAGTGGTCACAAAACTGTGATCAAAAGATAGACATTCTGATCAAAACCTGAGTAAATGTATAATTCTTAGATTAGATATACAAACTTACAGATTCTCAGGGACTTCTTACCAAGTTAATATTTGCAGAAATAAACCACTTTTGTTGTTGTTTGTTTGTTTGTTTTGAGATGGAGTCTCACTCTGTCACCCAGGCTGAAGTGCAGTGGTGCAATTCTGGCTCACTGCAACCCCTGCCTCCCGAGTTCAAGCGGTTCTCCTGCCTCAGCCTCTCGAGTAGCTGGGATTACAGATGCATGCAACAATGCCCAGCTAATATTGTATTTTTAGTAGAGACAGGGTTTCATCATGTTAGCCAGGCTGATCTCAAACTTCCAACCTCAGGCAATCCACCTGCCTCGGCCTCCCAAAGTGCTGGGATTACAGGTGTGAGCCACTGCGCCCGGTCAGAAATAAACCATGTTTTAACTGTTCTGAGTTTAATTTGGGATCCATTCAACTATAAACGCATTCCATAGTAACTACATATCTAAATCTATTGTAAAGGATTTCGATTTTTTTTTTAATTTTGAAAGGATCTTTATCCTTTCAAAACATCAGTAAGTCAAGATATT